CTTCCACACAGTGGGCTGGGCTGCCACTACCTGCACCTGGACAAGGGAAGCTGTGTCTCAGACCCCATGCTGGAAGGTTGTCGCATGTACAAGCCCTTAGCCAATGGGGTGAGCAGATTACAGAGCAGTGAAAAACTGAGTGGGCCTGGAAGGCATTCAACTTCTCAGGCATCAGGACAAACACTATTCTACCTTCTGCCCTGCCCTTCAGAGTGAATGCTGGAAGAAGGAAAACGGATTCCCAGCTGGGGTGGAGAATCCCCATGGAGAGATCTACCATCCCCACAGTCGTTGTTTCCTTGCTAACCTCACTTCACAACTGCTCCTGGTGGATAAGACCACGTATCCTTCTCATGTCCCACACCTCAAGGAAGTGGAGCTCACTGGTCGCTGCTACTTGCATCAATGCGCAGAGAGTGGAGCATACAAGGTGCAGGTGGAGGGATCACCTTGGGTCCCATGCCTTCCAGGGAAGGCTATTCAGGTGGGTACCCTGAAGGGAATAGTTGTGGTACTCTGGCAAAAAGTTGGGAAATGGCTGTACAGCAGTACTTTCCAACCTGTTTTGATGTTCATTTTTTACTAACTGCCTACTGATCCATGATTCTGATCTACCATGCCTGGTTAGAATGTACATTTTTCTAAGAGGAAAGGTTTGAGCAGATAATTAAGGAAAAACTATACCCTGCTATATATTCCCTTGCAGATACCTGGATACTATGGTCTTCTCTTCTGTCCCCGGGGTCGGTTGTGTCAGACTAACAAAGGTACCAATGCTGCTACATCCTTACCTGTGAGTCTTTCAAGCCCAGATCTGCTATTTCAGCTGTCGTTAGGATTAGTTGGGCCTTCAGGCCACTCCCTGAGAAAAGAACAGCAAGAAGAGCTGGCTGAAGCAGTTTTGCAGGCTCTCGTGAACAGAAGTGGCACTGGCAGGTGAAGGCACAGTTCAGGCTGAGTATTTATATAATAGGCCAGTGGGGATGCCTCTGAAGACTTCCTGTTCATTCCACTCTTAAACCTGTACCTGTTTCATGAGATATATTCTCCTAGGATTATGCTTCCATTAAGAGATCCAAATGTTCGTTTAGGTGCTATTTCCACAGCCCATCAATTACCACTAGTTTGGTGTTCACTGTGCATATGTGGAAGTCCTCTGGCTGCCAAGGACCTTCAGTTGCTATGATGCACAGGGCCCTGACCTGGACTCTCCAGGAGAAACCCCTAGAAGTTTATCACGAAGGAGCCAACTTCACCACACAATACAAGTAAGATAATATTCCAAGTAGTTTTCTTTCAAATCCATGGAGTCCACATTTGAAATTGCATTTATTAAACACTCACTCGTGTATATTGTCTTAGGGTTTTGTGTTTCAGAAAACAAAGATCCCTGACTAACGTGATCACCTTGGGCCCATCACTACATGCCCCTCCCCGCCCCGCCCTTCCATACAATAACAGAGTTCCCCTATCTCTAGACCACAGGGATCCTAATCCCCACTTTTTTTTTTTTTTGAGTCGAAATCTCACTCTGTTGCCCAGGCTGGAGTGCAGTGGCATAATCATGACTCACCATAGCCTTGATCTCCTGGGCTCAATCCATCTGCCTCAGCCTCCTGAGTAGTTAGGACTGCAGGTGCACACCACCACATCTACTTAATTATATGATTCTGTACAGATGAGGTCTCATTGTTGCCCAAGCTGGTCTTGAACTCCTGGGCTCAAACAATCCTCCCACCTCTGCCTCCTGAGATTACAGGTGTGAGCCAGTATACCATGCCTCCCTTCCTTTCTTAAGCACTCCTCAGGGATCATGCCTGGCTATCTAAACACCATAGTCAAACTCTTCCCTTAAGCTACTTCCTTCACTGCCATGTTAGGTCTCCTTCCAGTAATTTAAGATGCTAGAAGACTTGGATCATGTTCTTATTCCTACTTCCAGATTCTATATTCCCTCTTATTTAGCTAATAATTGGATGAAGCAGTTTCATGAGTTCTATGTATATGGTAAAGCCCTTCATCTCCTAAGCCCAAGCATTATTCTAGACCAAATATTACCTTTTATGTTCCTAGGCTGCTGATTACCTCGGACCATAATCCCTCCATGACCCATCTAAGTCTGTCCACGGGACTCTGCCTAATGTTGCTAATCCTTGTGGGTGTACTGGGAACCATAGTCTATCAGAAACAAGCTACTCTTCAGGTGGGACCATCTACCCCTTCCCATTAACCAGAGCTCCAATGCACAAAGGGCCCACCCAGTTAGAGGAATAAGGGAGGCATGATATTACCCAGAACATGACGGGGTAAGGCAGAGGATTATTTCTAAGGAGACAACTGGATAGAAATCTATTATGTACAACACTTAAGTTCTACTTTCTTTGGAATGACTCTTTCACTGGATATCAATTTTATACTCATTTTGCAATGAAAAAAAGGTGTCTTACGGTTCTGAAAATCTGTCCTTTAATTGGTAAAAATAAACCGTTCAACCTGTTAAGAGTGTCACTTGTTTTCATAATGTTGTAAAGCAAACTTACAGAATAGGAACACCTATTACCAGCTCCAGGGATAGCACATATGCTCTAGATAAAGGCCAGGTAGGCCAGGCACAGTAATTCACGCCTGTAATCCCAGCACTTTAGGAGAGAATTCTACCACTGAATCACCAATGCCTCCTCTTAGCACTTTGGGAGGGCAAAGTAGGAGGATCACTTGAGAACTTGAATTTGAGACCAACCTGGAAAACAGTCATATTCCATTTCTACAAAAAATGTAAAAAACTAACCAGGTGTGGTGGAACTTGTCTGTAGTCCTAGCTACTCAGAAGGCAGAGGTGATAGGACCACTTGAGCCCAGCAGTTCGTTACAATGAGCTATGATCACACCACTGCACTTCTGCCTGGACAACAGAGATCTTGTTTCCCACCCTCCCCCACAAAAAGGGAGAAGAAAATAAAAAGGCCAGGCTGAGTTGCTCATGTCTGTAATTTCTGTGCCTTTGGAAGGCCAAGAGTTTTGAGCAACATGGTGATACTCCAGCTCTACGAAAAAAGTAATAAAAATTAGCTGGGCATGGTGGTATGTGTCTGTAGTCCTAGCTACTCAGGAGGCTGACATGGGAGGACTGATGGTGCCAAGGAATTCAAGGTTACAATGAGCTATGATTACACCACTGCACTCTAACCTGGGTGACAGAGCAAGACCATCTCTGGAAAAAAATTTTAAGTCATTGTTATTTGGATTCAAGGAAACACAGTGTGGAGGAAGGAGTAACTGTTTATTTCCCTTTCTTGATTTTCCATAATTTTACTAAATCTAAGCTAGTGGAAAGCCAGCAGGTGGGATGTCATATAATTATGATAGAATCTGGTAAGCATGGTAAAACCAGGCAATAGAATCCAGCTAAAGAATAAAAATATGAGCTGGGCTCGGTGGCTCAGCCTGTAATCCCGCACCTTTGGGAGGCGGGTTCAAGACCCGCCTGGGCAACTTGGCGAGACCTCATCTCTACAATAAATCAAAATGAGCCAGGCGTGGTAGCGTGCGCCTGTAGTT